AAACTGTTGGGATTTCTAGGCTGTGAGATTCCAGATCTCCAGGCTTCGGACAGTAACAAACCAATAATCTCCTGTGGCTGCAAAAGGGCATTTAGCCTACTGTCATCCTTGGAAAACAGCCCAAGGCATGGAGGGATAGCTTTCCATCACACTCAAAAGCTCTTTCTGATCCATTCTCCAACTGGAGAGGAGGAAGGAAAGCAGAGCTAGGAGGAAGACTGTCTCCCAGAACTGTTCTTCTTGAGTGGCTTTTGTTTGGGAAGATGCTAACCTAATGAATGCTCTTTGAAACATTACTGTATTACGTAGTTTGCGGAGAATTTGGGAATCCTATTTTGTTTAACAAATCATTTTAGAAAAAAGAAAGTGTGGTACGGTGGCAACAGAGCACACTCCAGAGCCAGGAGACCTGTGTGGCTTTCTCCTCTGCCACTGCAGTCTTAAGAGTGGTATCTGAATCAGGGCAGCCCCAATCACCCGCCTCACCCTAAGCATTGCACCTCTCCCAGCTCAGGCCTGGGAGCCCAGGCTGCTACGGCTGATCCACCTGCCCCTAGGACCGGCATCTTTTGCCTGGACTGAGGCTTGCCTGTCCCCCAGGAAGAATGGGAATCTCAGGATCATAGACTTTATTCTCTACTGTGAACTTACTGCTGTGCTGGGGAATCACTGTCTACTATACGTATTTCCTACTGAATACAGGGGAGAAAAATCTACCCAGGGAAACACTCCATGTAAATGTTTGAGTCCCCAACTACTGGTACTTGTAGTGAGGGAGGGAAAGTATGTTTCCACATGTGCCTTGTGTTATCAGCGAAGCAGGGTGGCACCCAAAGAAAGATCACAGCTAGAGATTTTGTAGATGGAGAGCTAACCTTGAAAGATACTGGGACATCAGGGTTGGTTCTGCCTTGAAGCAACCTCAGCAATGTGTCAAGACTGGGTAGACATTAAACCAAGCCCACAGCCTTCTAGGAGTCAGGATAGTGCCTTCCGTGGAACACTTTGTGTCCCGCAGACTGAGGGAGGGTTGCATGTCCTGGGTGGCCATGCAACAGCAGGGTCTGTGCTGTCACACTTCTGTCAGCGGTTCCCAGACTTTTTTCAGGTGGCTGCTTAGAACCCAGTACCATGAAACAGTGACTGAAGATCAGGTCCCTAGCAGCGGGTGCCAAGCCAGACACTCAGAGTGATTTTCATCCCAGTTTCCCTCCAGCCTCTCCATGGAAATGTGCAGAATTCCAGAGTGGGGAAGAGTTTGAGCCTCAACTGAGTCAGGTACTAGCTGTGTCATCTTGGTTGACTTATGTGGCCTCTCTGAATCTCAGTATCCTGTAAGCTACAAATCCAAGGACCAATCTCAGCTTGCACAGGCTCAGTGATAGGAAGGCTATGCTAGGGGATCTGTGGGGTCCTAAGAGTGCTACTAGTTTATGATTTTATGACTCCTCCTTTATCCCCTAAGAAACTGGCCATGTTCTCTTTCTCAACGGAGAAAACAGCTAAATGGCTACAAGTTCCCACTCCTGCTGGCTTTTAAAGATGCATTTCCAACAAAGCCTCGATGTACAGCTAATGGCACGCTATGCGTTCTTCCTACTCTGTCTCTAGGACAGGCGCTGTGACAGGAGCCTGGTGTGGTGGGTCTGCCTGGGGTGAGCTCAGAGACTACCTGTCTTTTCCTTTGCCTCTCAGGGAGCCCCTGTGGCTCTCCTCTTCAACAGCAACAGCAGGACCCATGAGGATAGAACTCTGGCCTCATCACAAACATCACCCGAAACAAGATGTCCCCAGTCTGGCCAGCCCAGAGACAGACAGATCAGAGCCTGGGTGGGAAACCAGGAGGCCTTTCCTGTCCCTGTTCCCCACCACCACCACCAAGCAGGCCCCACTGGCCTGGGGCCAGCCTGTCACTATCTGGCTGTGGTGTAGGCAGTGAGTACCAGAGTGCTACTTCAGATAAGGGGCCTGGCCGCCTTCGTCCCCCTGGGGAAGGGCATGCTGTGGGCTAAGAAGTTCAAACAATGGGGAACCGAGCGATGGCTCTAGGGTTGCTAGATGAAAGGCTGAGAGGCTGCCAGGGCCTGGGTGCAAAAGTGCTTCATTTCAAAGGTGTTTAGGAGTGATGTCCCGGGAATAAAGGCTCCTGGGAGAGCACAGAGAGGGTTTTGTCTTCCAAGACCAGAGCCTGTCCAGCTCAGAAGAGGCCTGATAAGAGCTCTCTGCCGTTGGCTGGGCTCATGCTCAGTAGAGCGAGGCCATCTGCTTTTTCTCCCAATTTAGTGCAACCCAGGAAGGGGGAAGACTTTCTTACAGACCTCCCCTCCTCCCATCCCTGTCTGTGTGGGAGCTCAGTGGTGAGATGGGCCACAAGAGACCTGCCACTAATGATCAAGTATCAGCATCTGGGGGGAACGCTTTAAAGGAAAAGATATTTCCACAATGTAACCTTGGTCATTCTTTCCATGCCATGTACTTCCTTAACTGGGAGAGGGCCGATGAGTGCAGGAGCCTTGGTCACACAGCCCCCAGACTACTTTTTACCTGTGCTGTATCTCACACGGGACCAGGTCGAGGCAGGAATCTGGACCACTCGAAAGGCCAGGGGCATGCTCCTGGGTCTTTGCCCAAACCCCTCTCCATCAAGGGCCTACTGGTAACGTGGTCTCCCAGGTCCCAGGTCTGCCTGGTAAACTCTCACAAGTCCCATCTCTGTGCAGACCCAGCCAAGCCACCTTAGTGCCCCCGCCCCTGCCAATGTGCTCCTCTGCAGGGTACTTAATACACTGAGGTATTAACACGGTGGGGAGACAGATTAGTGTTCACTGCATTCCCGATTGCAGGAATTCTGTTATGCTGGCCCCGTGTCCTCTCAGTGTTTTAGCAATTTGGGCCATGCGAGATGCTCCCTTCTACAGAATTCCTTTGTCAAGCCTGATGTGCTGGGTTTAGGGACAGAAATGGTAGGTATTGCATGGACTCCAGGTACATTCACACTAGACTGAGTTCCTGGAAGTCAGAGATGGTGGTTTTCAGCTGCACCCCCAAGTCTAGCATTGTGACTGTCGTGAAGTAGGGCTCAGCCAGTGTCGGCTACACCATATGATACAACATTATATGCTTGATAGAATTTCTGTGACACTCTTGTGAGGTTATAGCTCTGCCCCCATTCTGCAAAGAGAAAATTGAGACTCCCAGGAGTTAAATAACTTTCTCATGAGCAAACAGTCAGCGGGATTGGACCTGGGTGCAAACTCAGATCTTTAGTCTTACACGCTCAGGAATGTCCTGGAGTTGCTGAGCTAGAAACTAGAGATGTTTAGGTAAGAGGAGATCTGCTGGGTAACCCCTGAGACCCGCCTGACTCGTGTCAGGATTATAACCACATTCAGCTGAGCCTTCGAGTTTTTCCCTCTGGGTATTCCATGGAGACAACACACCTTGCCCTCTCAGGGCCTCTGAAGTAAAGCAGGTGTGGTACAGACGGCAAATAGCTCTTGAATGTCACAGCTGAGGAAGGATTGTTTGTTTATTTCAGTGTCCTTGTTTTCAAACAAAAAGATCAAGATGAAAGGAGACATAGCTTACCATGGGCCCAGCACTCTGCTAAGCACACATTTTACAGCATTTCATTTCATAGACCTGGCAGCTAGGAGAAGATTCAAATAGAACCCACCTGAAGCTTCGGGTGAAGAAACAAGTTCGCAGGGACAAAGTGACTTGCCTAATGTGGAGGAAGCAGGATCTGAACCCAGGTCAGGCTCCTCCAAGAACCCCCTCTCAACCCCCACACCCAGTCCACATCTTCCCTTCTACATGCTCTGCCCTCTGTCTAGCCAACTCTCCTGCTGCCCTCCATGGGAAAATGCCACCACTGGCCATGAACCTGCCTCCAGGTCAGGTCCTCTCCGGAATTAGCAAGAAATTGTTCTTCCTGGTACTTACTGATGGTTATTTTTTTTTAAGTGAGAAATGAGTATGAAACAGGATATTTTCAGTAAAAGGGCTGTATCTCCCTGCTTCTCCCGGGAAGTGGTATCCATGGCACTTAGAGCAGACTCATGGACAGCTTTGGCAGAGAGAATCTGGTTCTCACACGGGAGCCTACTTGGAAGGCTGTTGCCTCCTGGATGGGTGAGAGGCCGAGCTCCAGGGGGCCGGCTGGGCTGGCACTCTGGCAGGGGAGCTCCTGGCCTAGCACCCCCAAAGCTGAGGATTCCAAGAATCCTTGAGCAGAGAGGGGTCAGCTCAAGTTTTAAAGTGACAAGGCCCGAATTCAAGTGCAGCCCGAGGATCCCAAGCCTGTGAGAACATTTCTTGACCCAGGGAGCTACAGGGTTAATAAGGTCATATACCCAAAATACCCAGGGGCAGCATCTCGGTGAAGCTTCCCAACTTGCCACGGCCCCATTCCTCCTCCATCATGGTTTTACTGTATTTTAGATTGAAACGTGTATGTAAGAGTAATGGAAGCCTCATTGAAAATCCTAGGCAGTGGCAAATCGTAGGAAACTCATGGGCCTTCTGAAGTACCCTTCTGATTCTGCGATCCCTGTGACGTCTTAACATACCTTGAACGTGACAACGCTTTACTCTCCCCTGGCCTACTGCCTGTTGGGTGACATTTACAGGGTGCCAGCTGCAGGCCCTGCATAGCACACGAGCCTTCAGCAGCAATATCCTAGCAGCCGATACTGAGCATCTCATGCAGAGCCTGCCAAAATATGGCCTCTGTTCTTTCCTTCAGAAGTCTGTGAAGCTGGCCTTCTCCTGAGACTCCTGCTTCTTGGTTCTACCTTCAAGTACCCTTCTAAGCAATATGGTCCCCCTGTCTCTCCCCAAGGGCTGCAGTGGCTGACCCAAGGGGTTACTAGGAGATTGCTCGAGCCTCCGGCCTGGCCTCAACTGGCAGTGGCTCTTCCCCCACTTTGGTCACAGCCAGGGGAGACCCGGTGCCTGACTCAGAGGTCCACATGGGCCAGGTTCCCTGAGGAACTTACCCGACGGCTTGTCTGTGGAGGATGGGAGGCTGGTGAGGGCAGGCATGGTGGGCAGAGGCGGCGGCAGCACCTTCAGGTTCTGGTCACTCTGGATCTCATTGGTGGAGATCTGGTTGGTGATCCGGTTGTAAGTGGGTGGCTGGTACACCCGGGGTGGGGTGACAGGGGGCGGCTGGGGCACGGGCCTGGCGGCGGGGACCCTCTGGCAGTGCTCCTCGAGCTGTGCGATGACCTCGGACTGATTGTGGGCCAGGGTGGCCAGGTGCTGGTACTTGTGCTCCAGGTCTTTGTACTTGCTGGCCAGCTGCAGCATGTCGGCCGTCTGGTTCAGGATCCGGTTCTCCAGCTGGGAGAGCTCCAGCGCGTTGTCCCGCTTCCGGATGATCTCGTGCAGGAGCTGCATGTAGAGCTGCGTGACGCGCGAGTTCATGTTGCGGCTCTCCTTGCGCAGCAGCTTCACCTCGCTCACGATGCCGCCGTCCACCTCCACCAGCTGCTGCAGCGTCTCAATCTGCCGCTTCTGCTTCAGCAGCTCGCTGTTCAGCAGCTCCAGCTCCTGCTTGTGCACGCGGTTCTCCAGGAGAACCTCGGGCTCCTTGGAGTTGACGCAGATGGCGCCGGTGACCCGCTGCTGGGGTACGATGAAGGTGTAGGTGCACTTGTCGGGGGACTCGCCCGCCCGCTTATACCTGTTCAGGTAGATGAACTCACTCTGTGGGCCCTCCTCCGTGCCCTCAAAGCCATCCTCTGGGCCTGCAGCAGCTCCCAGCGTGGCCAGCAGTCCCAGCCACCAGCACGTCACGCACAGTGGCCGCATGGTCCTTGCGATGCGGTAGTGACTCTCTGCAGAGGGGACCTGTGAAAGCCTGAAAGTAAACAGAGGAGAGCCGGTGAAGGTCGCCCCTGCCTGCGGCCTGTGCCAGCATGACCCCTTCCTTCTCATCGGGCCCAGAGTCCTCCTCATGCAGCTCTGGGAGGGTGCATTCGATTCTCCTGAAGTGGGGAGACACGGAGAAGGGAGGGCCCGGGAGTCTGCAGGTCAGAGCTGTGGCCCCGCCGTTCCCAAAGCCTAAGACCTTTGCATCTGCTCACTGTGCTCTGCTGATGCCCGAGCCGCCCTCGTGTAGCACCTGCAGTGGGTTCAGCTTTGCGGGGGCCGGACCTGGGTTCGACTTGACCTGGTATCTCCAGAAGATGGCATGGAGCAGGCTCTCGGCAAATGTTTGTTAAACTGATGACTCGCTAGACACAGTATGGGACGTGTTCGGTGTGTAGTGGACGATATCAATGGAAGGATGTGTCCGGTCACATGGCTCTAGTCTCCGTGTTAGCCCCAAACAGGAACAAACAACCGAGCTCTCCTAAATCCAAACATTCGCAACAGCCAGGGACTGCACGGTCCAGTCATTGCAATGCGGTTAAATCAGACTGGAGCAGAAGACAGGCACGTGTCTGCAGACGTGCTTCTGTTCTATTCTTGGGCCACTCATCCGTTTCCCCAGCCATGCACTGAACATGACAGTGTGGCAGGCAGTGCGAACGCTGCTGGGGACAGCTGCAAACAGGACCGAGCCGGCTCTTGCCTTCACAGGGCTTCTGTAGCCTCACGGGCCCCCAAGTACTGGGAGGGTATCACAGGGACCTGATCTAGTGGGAGGCGTCACGAGCGCTTCCCTGAGAAAATGACCTTTACACGGACCCTCGGGGGATCAGAAGGAGTTAGACGGGCCTGGCAGGAAGGGAGGATGTGTACTGTTTTCTCCTCTGGACCTTTGAGGACAGTCCTGGCTCTCTTGCCTCATCGCGGACTGCCTACATCCCTGGTGCTGTTTCTTGAAATGTCCAGAAAATCTCTTGACCTCGCAACCCTGCTCAGTTCTTTTCCTGCTCCCCTTTTCGGCAAACCTCTCTAAAAGTTGCCTACACTCAGGATTCCAGGAAGCTCCTCTCCTCTCTTCCTATTCCCGGGTGAACCCACCCTGTCAGCCGCTGCCCCCACACACACACTCCAGGCTCTCCAGCCAGGTCACCAGTGGCCAACGTTAAATGTCCGCTTCCGGTCCCTGGCTGCTCCTGCTCAGCCTCCTGGGCTGGTTCACCTTCACGTTCTTATTTCTTAATGTCTCCAGAGTCTTGCTGACCTTCTAGATCTCCTCCAGGCTCTGATTAACTTTAGGCACAGATCACTCCCATAGGTTCTCTGTTTGACTCCAGACGCGTATACTCAGTGTTTCTTTCATATTCCTCCTTACTATCCACTGGGCATCTCATAGTGCACTTATTCCTGTTTTTTACCATACCTGCGTCCCCACCTGCTTCTCCCAGTTTTTCTTATGTGAGTAAATGGCACCTCGATTCTAGTTATGCAAGTCAAGCACTTTGAAGTGGTCCTCAACTCCTTCTTGTCTTTCATATCCCCCATGTGATTCACCAAGTTATGATAGCAGCGTCCTAGAAACATTCCCAGCTTGCTCTGCCACCCCCGGCTTAGAGTTCTCGAGACCTTTCATGGACATAGCAGCTCCTTTACTTACTCCAACGCTCAGAGTTAGTTATTAGGATTGTGCACGTTTTGAGGATGAGGAAACTGAAGCTCAAAAAGGTGCCAGGTAACTGGCCGTGGGGCCGGTCTTGGAGTGGTACAATCATTCTGGGTACCACTGTGCCATCTCCATGGTGCAGCCTCCCTTCACCTTTCACCTGGACTGTTGCAGTTGTTTCCTAACTGGTCTCCTGACCCTGCCCCCACCCTCCTGTCCTCCACTCAGCAGCCAGAGGGATCTTTTGCCAAAGTCAGATTGGATTGCTTTTATGCAAAACCCCATAGTGGCTCCCCATCTTGGAGTGAAGGTTAATGACTCTCTTGGGCCCTCCATGACCTATCTCTGCCCCCTCTCGTGTCTCCTAGACCCCCTGTCCTCTCTCCTCAGACAGCGAGCTCCTCTACACACTGGCCTGTGGCCCTTGTAGCTCCAGGGCCTTTGTTCTTGCTGTTCTCTGCACAGAATGTCTGCCCCTCTCTCCACTGCTCACACCCTGGCCTCTTTCAGGTCTTTACTGAAATATCACCTTCTCCATGAGACCCTCCCTGCTTAGGTAAGACTCTGACCTCTCCACCTCTCCCTCCAGAGTCCTTGTCGTCAATCTGCCCCATGGAGTTCTCGGTGAGGGCAGGGGTGAACTCGGTTCCATGTGCAGTGCTTAGCATGTGGCCTGGAATGCACAGGTGCTCGGATGTTTGCTGACAGAATGAAATACTCGACAGTTGCAGTGTCGTGGGGAGTGCCGTAAAGGGGGATCTGAGGAACTGGGGAGCCCGTGACCGGGACTCCTGAGGGGCAGAGCCGTGTCAGGGAGGGCTAGAGCAGATTCAGTAGGAAATCAGTAACAGCCTTTGAGTAGTGCCACCATCTACCTGGCCCTGGGCTGTTTTCCTGTAATCATGACTGTCCTTTGATGGTAGACACTATTTTTATTTCTGTTTCTCAAAGGAGGGAACTGAGACTCAGAGAGACTAAATGACTTGCCCAAAGTCACACGTCTAAAAGATGGCACAACGAAGACCCATCCCTGGTCTGAGGGACGCAGGCCTTCAAGCTCTTATGACTGACTGCACAAAAATGAGCTTAATCTGGCTGAGTAGGAAGAGAAGAAAAAGCATTCACACGATCATTTTCCGGTTTCACATTCATCTGTTGTAGTATTAGCCATGGCACAGGACTGAAAGGTTTATCCGCCCTGGACTGCTGGGGTGCTTCCCCAGGGAGCCCCTGGTCTCCACCTGGTGCTAGCCATTGTGCAGACGCAGAGCAGAACCTGTGCTTCACAGGGCTGTGCTGAGTGAGCCGTTTCCCTGAATGCCAAAGCCCAAGTGTGCTTCCAACAGACTGCTTGGGCCTTTTGGGTAGGCAGAGAGGTGTCTGAGAGCTTCTGGCTTGGGTTTGGGGCTCTGCTGGGAGGTAGGGCTGAAGTGATGTCAGTGGAAACCAGGCAGCGTTTGGGAGTGTTTGCCTGGTTTCCAAAGCACTTTGGCCGCTCCCGCGCGGGTGGCCACGCCTGCCCCAGAACAATAGGGAGGAGCGGGCCCCTGGCTAGGGCGGGCCTGCCTGCGCCTGCGCCTTCTTCCGTGGGCTTCTCACCTGCTGTGGCTGGTGACAAGCGCCTCTGTACCACTGGGCCCTGGCCTCTTTGTCAGAGGCCCAGGGAGGCAACCTGGCTCCAGGAAAAGGGTTGATTTCTAAACCTTGCCCGGCTTTCAGACCCTGGAGGCTGCAACGTTTACTGTGGAGTTCTAGCCCCTCACAAGCTTGGGTTCTCAGAGTCTCCTGGGAGAACTCTTACCCTTGACCCTGAGATCCTGAAGGCTGAGCCTCCTCTGCAAAATAGAGGGATCCGTGTAGGTAAGTGGCATGGAAGATTTCAGAAATTAGAGACTGGAATAACATGGTAGCCACATGATAACAAGAAGACCCCAACAATGGTAACAGTGCAGACTAACAGGAAGGAGCACTAACGACTGGACAGGAAGTGGGCTGGATACTTTTACCACCTCCTTGAATGCTTACAGTTGCCCCATGAGCAATACCGCTGCTACCCAATTCACATAGTTATAGCACCGCCCAGCCCAGAAGCAGCCCACTGGTTACCCCGGTCCCAGCCATCCTTGCACCCTCCCCAGAGCTGACTCATGGTAGGGAGGCCAGAGACATATGTGATCATAGACTGCGAGGATCTGGAAAGAGCATTTCTTGCAACTATTAGATTAAAAAGTAAACCAAACTTGTGCCGCGTTTTGAGTTCTCGAGGCCTTTTGTGAATATAGCAGCTCATTTACTTACTCCCACGTTCAGAATGAGTTATTAGGATTACACACATTTTGAAAATGAGGACACTGAAGCTCATAAAGGTGCCAGGTAGCTGGATTAGAGGCACACTGCTAGCTGTGGGGCCAGTCTTGGAGCAGCACAGTCATCCTGGGTACCACTGTTCCATCTCCACCGGGCCTGGACTTTTGGGACTTGGAGCATATTGACTCCCCAGGAGAAAGGAACAGAAGGAACAGAGCACTGTGCTCGGAACCTGATAACCCAGAAGGGTTGTTATTCCCCCGTTTGACCAGTGGAGTCCCTGAAACCCAGATAGGCCCAAGGACGCAGCCAGAGACACACGGACAGGACAGGTACGGCCCGAGCTGACCCAGCTGGAACGCCAGGCAGCCTCATACCAAGGGCTATGCTCCCTCTGTAGCCTTTGGCCTCCGAGGCATTTATTTTCCTTAAAGATTTCAACCCCCTCGTCCTTTGCTAGTTTGGCAGTTCTGAATGGGCAGTAATGAGCATGTTTACTCTTACTCTCTTGGTATTTATTCAACTAATTGCATCGCAAGAGAAATAACCCCCAGGATTCCATTCTTCTTAGGCCTGAAGAGGAGCTCAGGCCCAATCAATGCCCTGCTCCTCAGTTTCTTCCTTTGACCAACAAAGAAAAGCAAATCCAACTGTTTTCCTTGGCTTCAAAGTTAAAGTAAAAACGACTCTCAAAATTGCTTTTCCACATTGTGTTGTGAGGAGTTTCCATTGTGCATGGGCTTTTCCTCCCCACCAGTGACTGCTCCACGTGACAGCCTCTGCACAGGGCAGGCTTGGGCCCTACCCAGCCTCTCGTGGGCTGCTTCTGCGAGGCCCCGCCTGGCCTGCGTGGTGGGGCCACACACCGTGTGTCCACATCCCTCTCGCCACTACGGCGCTGCAGCCCAGACTGTGGGCCACTTTGTGGGTAGAAGTGTCATCTTGGTAAAATGGAGCTGTTTCCCCTGGGGCAGAACCTCCTGGCCCAGGGCCACTTCTGAGCTCTTACCCCAAAGGTT